CAGTGAATGCTTATTAATTTATAAGACATAGTGTTTAAGCACTTTATTTAAACGCTACTTTTTTTTTTTCTGTCTCCTCCATGTTTTGTGCAGTGCTTCCCTCTTCAGACTGTGAGCCTTTGGAGACAAAATCTGGGTTTAAATATATACTCAGAAAACAAAGAGAATATCACATCTAAGAACAGAATTTTTCAAAATCTTGAATATTATTGATAATAACAGATTTCCTGTTCCACCATCTACTTTGTTGTTCCTGTTGTAAAGTATTGAAACAGGTATTTGGTGTATTTTGTTATTAAGGAAAACAGGAAAAACACTACACAGACCTGAAACACGAAATATTATTTATTATTGTTCCAGTCAATCAGATTAACCAACACTTCAGTTCACTTTTCACTGTGCTTGTGGATGTAAGTCCAAGTATATGATCCTAAAGAAAAAGCTTGCATTTTAATTAGCATTTAATTCATCATCAATTAATTGCTGTCTTATTACTGCCCACTTTGTGAGATGCATGACAAATTATTGGAGGATCTTGCAGAACTCCGCTCTCAACTCACTTAATGAGAGTTTTAATTCCTGAACTGCACTATCATACTGTCCTGTTTCTCTCCAGACCAAAGAATTTTGAATTCTGTGATCTTAAGTAGGAATTGTAGGTGTTTTCTCCACTTTCACATCTTTCACTTAATAACACTACCCATAGATTTGCAGGCGTTGGTAGTTTTAAAGGTATGGCCTTGATCCAAGTCTCATGCAAAGAGGTTTTATTTCATCTAGGCAAAGTTGTAAGATTTAGTTACTCTCCTCCAGAAGAAATGTTATTTCCAATTGAAGTAGTCCACAACTTGGCTTCAAACTTGCCATTTCTGTAGCTTAAAGGTGTTCCAAGCCAGTATTGTGAATCCTGTCCTAGGTCCCCAGTTCTTTTCTCTCAAGAGAGAGAAAAGAAAGCACAACACGAGACACTTCATTTTATAACAATATGTGTGGTACAGGGTTAGTTACAATAGATTGTATTTTTAGCTAACTTCCTGGCTTGTTGAGAAGTATTTGTAGTTCTGTCGTATGCTTTGTTATTTGTACTTACCATAAAATATGTTGCTTTAATAGTTTATTTGGCAGAAATAAAATATACTATGTAAGTAGTACACCCTTGTAGAATTTTCAGCACAGTCAAGAAATAATCTTTTAAAAGAGCATCCTCTCTTTTAAAGACAGTGTGAATTAACTCAGACTTTCTTATATACCATTTCCAGGACCACCTGAGAACATTAATCTTTGCCCGTTTTATATACAGGTCAAAGCTTGAAAAAGTTCTAAATACCAGTATCAGTTGTCTGCTTCCTATAACTTTTTTTTTTAATATGCTCTGATTCAAAGTTATACTCTCTTTATTAGAGATTTATAGTAAGTATAGTTTGAGATTTCATTCACTTTAATGTAGTGTTCAAATTCAATAAAACTATTCCCAGATTGCTGCAGTTATAAGACAAGCAACAACATAAAATAAATGTTTAGTTTTCCTATTTTCAAGGTTTTAATAGCTGCTTGTTTGAATTTCTGCTGTTCATCACTGAAATATAATGTACTCTAAGAATACCATAAAATATTTATAATGTTTTTTTTCTTTATAATATCAGTAAGGTAGGTATATTTATGGGTGTAAAGATATAAGGGCTTTTTTTCTTCTTAACTGTTGTAGGTAGGGAAAAGAACAAAATAAGTGAGGCAACATCACTGTTAGTTTCCTTTATCATCTTATATAGGAAAAAAAGAAAGTTATACATGGAATAACAATCTGAGAATAATCATGAAGAGGAAATAAAGTGATGCAAAGACAGCCACTCACCACCTACCACAAACAGGCGGCTGCCCAGTCAGTCTCCAAGCAGTGACCGTCTTGAAAGACAATCCCCTTTCTACCTCCTGTTTCTTCCTCTACCAGCACTTCTTGTTGCTGAGTGTGATGTTATAGGCATGGAGTACCCCTTTGGCCAGTTTGGGTCAGCTGTCCTGGCTGTGTCCCACTCCCAGCTCCTTGCCCATCCCCACTCTACTTGCTGGGGGGCAGAGAAAGGCTCGATGCTGTAGAAGTGCAGTTGAGCAAAAGCCAAAGCATCGGTGTGTTATGAGCAATGTTCTAGCCAAAAATCCAAAACACAGCACCATACAGTCTGCTAAGAAAAAAGTTAACTCTATCCCAGCTGGTCTCAGTAAGTGAACTTAGCATTTACTTACTGTAAAAAAGTACTGGAATAGTTCATTCAAGTGTATGTTTTGCACTCAAATCAAATCACATCAAAATGATAATCTGAGTATTCATTGCCTGGAAAGCATTAAACAATTTAGGCAGTGTATTTGGAAGATTAGCTGAAGGAATACCTAAACTGAATGATACTAATAATATTACACCAAAATCATATCTACAGGAAAATGCAAGTATGTTTTAAGACAGAATTATTCTGTGGTTCGGTTTTAAACACTTTTATATTAATTTTCATATTACTGGAGGAGCCCCAGAGTTAAACTCATCTTCATGGTAATAAGTGCATTAAATGAGCCAAGGAGACTGGATCTTCCTCTGATTAATCTTTTCATCCTTAACTTTTTCACCAAGTTATGTTACTCCTGAAAACCCTTAAATTTTTCCATAGTTCTAACTCAATGAAATAAGAAACTCTTCTATTCCAGCCCCTCTTTAGGCTGGATGGGGAAATACTGATGAAGAAAACTGCCCACATCTGGGGCAGTGATTCTGTGAATAGGGAGAGCTTCATTAAGCATGGCATAGTACATGTGTTACTATTTTCTTTATTTTACTATTCAGTCTTATTTCGTATCAGTCATTACAGACGTCAGGAAGTTACTTTATGAAAGATTATAAGTAATATTATATATTACTTTCTTTAAAGTAACTTATCAAACAATAAAGGTCAGAGTCACCTTATTTCAGTTTTATATTTTATAACACCATCTGTGGCTTACACTTCAGAATGTAGTGTCTGTCTTCTCGTATTGAATAATTTAATTTTACTGAAAGTAGAGTGTTTCTGTCTGTCTAAAGTCTGTCTGCATTCAGACTGTTAGACTCTGGTATATGGGTAGCTCACTGCTGAAGATCTAAAGAATGAGGACTTAGAAATGTTGATCAGAAAAGGGGAAGCCCTTATAGATGCAGCAGGCTCGGTCATTAGTTTGTTTCTGAGACTGCTGAAAATAAACAGAGAAAACAGAAGTACCAAAAATTAGTGAACAAATTAATTTCTGTTCTTTCAGTAACATAAGAACAATATCACTTGATATAAAGACACTGAAAGCATTTTTTTAAATTAATTAATTTTTGTGAAGAACTCTGTAACTTGAGTAATAAACACTTATGAGAACAGAAGCCACGAGGGAAACTGGCAGTACTCTCTTCAAAGCAGGATTTTAACAGAGTAAATGCAGAGCAAAGAAAATAATGAGGCACAAGCAGAATCGCGAGTAGTTGCCAATTAAGAGTAGTGACAACACTGTGTGGAATTATCTAGGGTTCAGGAGGGTAAATATTAAATATAGTTACAGACTTTGTCATACATATACATGCAAGATGGAACAGATGGAATTTTCCTAGGAAACCTTAACTTCAGTATTTCTGGTTTTCTGAAAGTTTGACTCTATATTTTTTTTCACTTTTTTTTTTTTTCTCAGTGTTAGTGTGACTATTATTTGGTGCCTGACAGTTACAAACATTCCACACAAGTAGATAAAACAACATATTGAATTTGCTTTTTCCGTTAGAAAATGTGTTTATATCCAAATCAATAAATCAGTACCTAATTCTTGTTGAGTAGTTATTTGCTGCCAAAATACAGCATGGTTGCTGTCTTTTCTCAGATTGTTTTTTCCTATTATGATTTTATATGGTATTACTATAGCATATATAGAAAAATAGGATTGCTGAAATTAAGAATTAAAGGGTATTAATGCAGATTGCACTTTCGAAAGGAAAGTCTAATTTTTCCATCTTACTTCCTTTTCAAAAATATACACCACTGTCTCCTTGTTAGAAAGCCTACAAACGCCTGAAGCTTTATACGTGAAATTATTTGTATAGACTTAAAAGTATTTTAAAATAAAACATCACTTCTTTAAGAAGCATTATTTGATAATTCATAATTTGATCATTCAGTAATGTACTGGTTTTGGCCGGGATAGAATTCAGTTTCTTCGTACTACCTGGCATGGGGCTATGTTTTGGATTTGTGCTGAAAACAGTGTTGATAACACAGGGATGTTTTAGTTATCGCTGAGCAGTGCTTACACAGAGTCAAGGCTTTTCCTGCTTCTCACACAGCCAACAAGCAGGCTGGGGGTACGCAAGAAGCTGCGAGGGACCCCGGCTGCCCAAGGGGTATATTCATTGCAAATCTGTCATTGTGTGGAAAGCTGTCTATTGCTATGTCCTTGTTGTGTTTGGGAAATTATCTCAGCTGAATTACATTGTATAAGATATACTTCTTTTTGTTGTCTTAAAGAATTAACATTTTCACAGTCTTGCTTCAGATGTGGATGCAGTGGTGTCAATTAAATATCTGCCATACTGGCATTGCTGTTTGTTTTAGAAAGTGAATAGCTGTAGTGGTATAGTGGCTACTCTATCTTTAGATAAATATAATGTTGTTTAATTCAGTGTCTTCTTCCAGCTTCAGCTATAGCAGTTAGTTGGGGACACTGTTGTCGAGCTGTTTGTGGCTGCCCAGCAAATGGAGGTTACTTGTTTCACAATTCAGCCATCAGAACAGAAATGCAAGTTCTCACTGTTCTGTTACGCTGGAGTCAGCAAATGGCTTCAAAACATTTAATCAGCAATTAGGTTAAATTTGCTAATTTTGCGCTTAAGTGGATCAAGTTGATTTCCACTGGATGTGCGGTGAAGAATTATCTTCTGTCAGGAATATAGTAACAAGCATCCGGGGATAAAAAGTCTCGAATTTCTATCAGTGTACAAAATCGTCATGTCTCGTAAGTGTCAAGCAGGTTTCATTGTTTTTCCTGTAAGAATACAGCTGAAGCGTTATTATGCCACTTTTCTATGCTTATATTTTACTGAACATTGACTCATTTAGTTTGCTTGTTTCATCCAGATTTTAATGATGGCCCTTTTCCTATTTCTATTCAGATACATTAAAACAAACAAGCAAAAATAACCCTCAGCATTTTGAAGTTGTTCTTTTCACCAGCAACATGCTTTTAACAGTGATGAGCAACATAAAATAAAAAAACCTTTTTCTTTCTTCCTATAGGATATTTTATGATGTATTTTAATTGCTGGGAAAATCAAAACCAGTTGATTCAATGATATATTTTTTCTAATATTTCACTACATAACAATAATAAACTGCATTATCAAGTGTTATATGTATTTTTAGATATAATTAAAAATTGTTTTATGTAAGTTGTAATTCAAGATCTATTTTCACCTCTGCAGTAAAGGAATACTTATGTTCCACATTTGTACCCTTGCATTAGGTCCAGCCAAGGAATAATGCACACAGTTCACCATCAGGCTGCACAGTTAAATACCTTCAATCCTAGGTGAAGCTTTGCCTAGAAATCCTTCCATGTGAGATCCTGCCCAGGACCATCAGGAGAGCTGGGGGCAGTGGGACAACACTCATTGTTTTTAGATATTAGGCCAGGTGTTGTGTTTTTTTACCTTGTTCTGGATAAGGTTATTTCTTAAAGTGGATATATATTATTGATTGTAGGATGGAATGGGAAATTTGAGAGTCACTAAAAAAGGAATACGACTTGAAGGAATATCTGAATTTCTACTTCCACTATACGTGAAAGAAATCCATTCCCGAAAGGTAGGTGGTTTTAATTTTTTTTCTTAATTTACAACTAGTATAAATTAATCTCCTCAGTCTCAAATTATAAAGTTTAATTCCTACACCTCCTAAATTAGCAATAAATAGAGGTTTTCTTTGAGAATACGTTAACAGTGAAAGCTTCCTTCATGTTAAAAATGATATTTTTTTTCTGAAATGTTGCTAAACACTAAAATAAATGTCTTATCATAAAGAAAAGACATAAAAAGGATGTATATTTTATACTTCAAATGACCCCAGCATTGGGAATGGAACATTCTTCACATGATGTGATGTCCAGAAAAATAGGATTGGTAATATGTGCAAAATGTAGTGAAATGAAGAATGGTTTTGTATATGTTTACATTCCTTCTGGTATTTAACTAGTGTGATTTCTTTCCTACTTTCCTTTCTCCCTCCCTCCCTCATTAGCTACAGGCAATCTTGCTAAACTGGGTAACGACTCTAGGACTTAATTTTTCAAAGCAAACCATTTTTAATGTTGCTTAAATGTAATTGTTTTATCATTTAGCAGCAGGTTGTTACAGAGGAAAAAAAAATCACGATATTATGTATTCAGAAATTCAGTGTAGCTCATTTTAACTCATTCTTTTTGATTCAGTCATGATGTTTATATTAAAATCATCAATGAATTAAAAAAATAATTTTGAAATACTGGAAATCTCTTCAGTTCTTTTTACTGTGCAAGTGATGGCCTATGATCAGAGAGGAATATTACAATGGTTTTCAGTCAATCATCAACAAAGAATTTTAATATGCATATTGTAATATTTGACAGATATGAAAAATATGTTTACCCTAAATGCCTTTGTGGAAAATTATGTCTGTTGAAATCTCTCTTCTATTTTTATATATAAAGTACATTCATAAAAGAGATCATGACAGTTTCCCATTTCTCTTAATTAGTTCACTCTGGTGTTGATAGATGTGTGAGATGAACAGGTAGTATCTTCATGTCTGCTGTAAAACTAAGATCTTTCTATGTTTTAGAGAGTAACAATATTGTCCTAGGTAATGAAAAATTGTACAATATGTAAGTAACAGTATATTCCCTAATAATGTTGAATTTTGATCACTTTATTGAACAGATATCCATTTACTTTTAAACTCACCACACACACAGTTTTACAAAATCCTGTTAATAATGTTTCTTTTATAATAGTAGCTAAAAGGACGTGATGGGTTGACCCTGGCTGGATGTCAGGTGCTCACCAAAGCCGCTCTATAACTCCCCTTCTCAGCTGGACAAGGGAGAAAAAATATAATGAAAAGCTCATGAATCGAGTTAAGGACAGGGAGAGATTCATTCAGCAAATACTGTCATGGGCAAAACAGACTCAACTTTGGGAAATTAATTTATTGCCAATGAAATCAGAGTAGTGATAATAACTAAAACCAAATTCCCCCCACTCCTCCCTTCTTCCTAGGCTCAACTTCACTCCCAATTTTTATACCTCCTCCCCCCGCCCCAAGCAGAAAAAGGGACAGGGAATGGAGGTTGTGATCGATTCATCACAAGGTGTTTCTGCTGCTCCCTCCTCCTCAGGGGAAAGACTCCACATG